CGAATACCTTTGATGTACGAATTCTCAATCCTCACCGACTGTGTCTCAAGATTCAAACGTCGGTGCATCAATGTCTGTTAACAGTTTAATCAATGTTAAAATATCCACCCTATCATAATTTACCATGACCCCATTTTAATATTAAAATTAAATAAATTTACATTTATATTAGAATTCCATCGAAATCCCATTTGCATAATAAATCTAAACCCTTTCTCCTTATTCGGCCAATGTTAAATTTATATTCGGTTATTAATCATTAAAAACGTCTACTAAAAAAAAAATATATCTCCACCGTTCATCAAATCACTCTTTTTCTCGAATGTACAACGGTAAAACTATCAGATTTTTCGATACGCCTTTCAAAGACTATTCCCTGGAGCTCTCGCCGCGTAACAAAAGAGAGAATAGTTTCTCCGCGACCTCTCCCATCCCTCAACTTTCGTGGCTTCCTTTTGTTGGACAGCAACTTGCCCCGACTTCGACTTCGGCCACGAATTCATCGGACGAGCGCAGCAACTGTTCAACTTCGGTGTTTCCCAACAAAGTGTTTTCTTTTACGTTTCTTTTACCTATTATACGAGGGTGGGCTACTGAATAAAGAGCAACGAGAAGGGCGTGGAAAAAGTGGAAAAACGTTGCAACTTGGACTATTTATAGGGGTGGAAAAGGGGAGAGGAAGGGAAGAGTCGCGTGTATGCGTAGGATAATCGTTTATTGGAGGGAAAATTGGATCTCTATCAATGGATGATGAATTTTCTTTCATTTATTTTCTATTGAATTCGATTATATTTCGATTATATTATGAAGATTTCGTTCTATTAATTGGAAGTGCGTATTAAGATGAAAAGTTGATGGAGATTTAATAAAATTACGATATTTTGTCGCATGATCGATTGAAAATTTGCTTTTTCGATTACTTTATTGCGGAATTCTTGTAATTTTTCAATATCCAACGGCCGGAAAATTGAGAAAACCTTCTTATGGAGCATAATTTAACTTTAATAATCGCAAGCGTACCTACGGTAAAGGTAAATTTACATGAAAGCGAAACTCGTGAAATTAGGATATTCTCGAGGAAGGTAATGAATTCATAAGGGCCACACGTTTTTCATAGTTTCAATCTTCCACCTCTTCCTTTCCTCTGTTTGTATTTCCTCTTGATCTGTTTCGCAACTTTTCTTTTCTCATTTTAATATTTCGTCTTCCTTTATCCTTCTTCTACCTTTCTATTCCTTTCTAGATTAGATAGTTTTCAATTGTAAATAAATTACGTTCAAAAATTTAATAGAAAATTCGATCATGTGATAATAATTTTTACAACTTTAATTCTGACAATTCTGTATACTGAGTAATTTTCTATAAAATGTCAATTGAATTGTCTCATATTCACAATAACACGTTCCCGAGTACAGTTTCGCGTGGTTATTACACGTTGTTCTGGTAACAGATAGACACCTGTGTAGTGTAATTCACACGTTTACCATGCCAGAGTTCCAAATGTCCACGCGTAATTACGAATATGTACTTCGAGCATGAAATCCAACATCAGTATGTCTCTCAGCCACTGTCTGATGATACCCAACTGTCCACGTATTACATGAGAAAGAGAATATTTCCTGCAAATAAATTAGGGGAAACGCGCGAGAGAACGAGTATATCTGTTAATTGTTTATTGTTGTAAATTAAAAAAAAAAAAAAAAATCTAAAACTTCGATGCTACTTATAATCTACAGACTGGAATTCCATGTAAGGAATAAGTAGTAAAAGCCCATTTTGATCAGGCAAGTAACATCTAGTCAGATAATAGATCCATTGTAGACAGACGAGAAGTATAAATTAATCACGCAAATAGAATAATTTTAGCATAGTCAAATATAGCTTCCTTGTGAATAGAACGAACAATAAGTGACCAGTCATGATCAGGCAAGAATAAGACAATCAATAGACTCGCTGATTAGTGAGCAAGTAACGTACACCAATTATAGTCAGACACGTAGAATAAAACGATCTGCACCAAGCAAAAGTAATATAGATCGAGAAAATATAAGTCCATTGTGATAAAACAAGTATTACGACACCAGCCATAATCGAACAAACAGAATAATAACAAATAGAAGATAAATGGAATAAAATTATTTCGATTATTTATTGTATAATCAGAAAAATATGGACTTATCCATATAATAGCGATACAGTATCACACGACAGATACAAATACACCAATATGGCCAATATAAATCAAACAAACACATGGTAAATATAAACGTGATATTTATCGTTACGTTGCCAAGTTATCCAATTACTAGATAAATATACAGACAGATATACGACAGATATATATTAGACCGGTACACACCGCCATTTGTCAAAAGATAAAACTTCGATATTTATCGTCACGTTTAAAATTAATTCAAATGGAAACTTTCCTCCTGATAAGAAAGCAAGGAAGAAAGGAGAGGGAGGAGAGAATTTAAAGGGCATAGAGAATTGGTTATATATCGGGGAACGACAAGAAACGAAGGAGGAGGGAGGGAAGTGTGCAACACGAACAAAAGACAGAGCGCGCGAGAAGTCTGCAAGTTCGAGGGGAAACAAGAGCATATCAGGAATTCCTATCGAGCATTCAGAAACCGCAGCCAGCAACCAATTTCAAGTTTACGCGCTCAACTTTTCCGTATCTCTTCTCACATATCTGCCTCTGACGTTCTACCTGTTTCGACTTCCTTCTCTCTGTGTATGTGTGTGTGTGTGTGTGTATCCACGATTCTATATAAGTATCGTCTATCACGTGTGTGTATATATACTCGTCAAACATTCAAAAGTGTTTTATAGGAAAATATCCTCCGGCGATGTATCCCACTTAACAGATGATCCTGCAAACAATTAATCGAAATGATTATTTGTTGAGATGAGACGAAAAACGGATATGGAGCTTTTTCTTTATTGATTCGAGTGATAAGCCAGAATCTTTGCTTGTTTGTTATTAATTTTCATTCAGAAACGAGAACAAAGTGTTTGAAGAAACGAAGAAACTTTGACGATAAATGGATCTTAGAAATTTAATCTTAATGTTATTCCATTTTTGTTCTATAAAGTCCATAAAGTTTTTTTGTATTTTTTTTTTTTTGCTCGTTTCGTGATATTAATTATTCGTTAAAGAAAATTATTTCCCAATGGTGGAGATATAATTCGGTCTTCTCGCAGATATTCAATTTTTTTAACAGAAAATTTAAATTTGTTTCGATTTTTTTCTTCAATATCTCTACAATTTATTTAATTAGGTAATATTCAGTAATGATGCGAATCTCTAGAAATCTCGATGAAAAATTCGAATCAGAAGTCTCGGTTTCATCTACCGTTCTAATAAAACTCTGAAAAACTGCTGGTTTCCTTGTTCTACGAAAGATTCTTCGGTTAATTGCATTCATCCAGCTGGTTAAGCGTAAAAGGAGGAGGAATATACGGAGATGTACGCGAGGAGATAGTAATTAAACGCGACGTTTAAGTGAGCGAACGTGGCACATTCGCAGGAAAACGTGGATTAGTAAGTTTCCGATGAAACTTCCAGCTACTTTTCCATCGTTAAATGCTCACGACTCGTACGACACACTTTTTATTTTCACGAGCCACTTAAAAATTCTTATTATCTTGCATTCTGACGTATCAGCAGTTCCTGGTAGATATCGTTGAAACAATATTTTTTCGATATTTCAATTATTCGTTATTTCATATTTTCTTAGTATCGATTCCAAAAATCGAAAAATTTCTGGTAGCCGATATTAATTTTCGATAATAAAATACAAAGAAACAATTATGAAACGAAGAGAGAAATGCAACGAAATTGAAAATGTAAGAGGGGAATCAAATACGTTGAAAATTCTTTATTATTTTTTCGCATTTTTTGAAAAAATTCATAGAGTAAAAAATCGATGATATGTTGCGTCATCTGTCTCGAATGTATTAAGTTTTAAATGTATTATAATTTCGTTTTTGTTTTTTATATTTTCTTAGTGGTTATTGTGTTTCTATTTATTAGATTAATTTATCGATTCATTGTTTGCCACGATAGGCGAATGTTATATTTATAGGGTGTTTTTAATTCATTGGTTTTCATTGTAGTCGATGGATTGGCGTTCAATTTTTCTGTGGCGTATTACTAGTGCTATCGAAACCATTCAAAAAGCTTTCAATGAATAATACCATCCGATATAAAATCCCAAACAACACGATGGATAAATGACAATAAAATAAATCGCTTTTTTTTTATTTTCATTGCTATTACCCAATATTCTATCGCCATGTACTTCTGACAATAAAAATGTCAATAACGAAAACCAGTGCGCTCTTCATACATGGTACAATTCACTCTTTATGCAATGAAAAAGAAAATTTTTCAAGTTTTAAAACACAACATAATATTGGAACAAATATATCATTACAATAAAACTATCAAAGGCTAAGGTATTGCAAGATAAAAATTGTAGAATACCAATAGTAATTTGTAATATATTGTATATCTATAAGTATTTATTATTAAATGAAAAAGACGAAAGATTAACACAATAATTAAAATAAATTCTCTAATTCTCAAGATTATATAAAATTAGAAATATTGAATATTACATAAATTTTATTAATAAAATTCTTTTACGATATACAAATAATTTCTAATTGCAAGTAACATTCGATTTATGCGATCATCATATAAAATAAACTAAAAATTAATCGATCAATTGTGCGATTATTTAAAATTATTTTTGAATTTTATAAAATTCATTTGATTGTTCCATGCAATCTTCTCGCATGAACCCCCTTTCAACCGAATGTACAATTATATTTACCTGCGAAAATTCTACGAACTCTTATTACACGAACAATCTACTTACAGAATTTTAATATATTCACGAGACACTTTCGAAAGCGAGAAGCCAAACACAAATATTCAACTATCTGTCCCACTCTTCCTTCGTCTCACTTCATGTAAACATTTAAATTGTTTACAATCCGACTCAATACCTTCCAATCACCTCGTTATTTCTTCTGTTCCTTCCGTGCCTCGTACACGTAAATAGAACGAATCGTCTAACGTTTCACGATCTCTTTCCACTCTCACACAACGTCTTGCCTCCGAACAAACTGGTTCGTCGCACAACGAAGTAACGGGTAACGACGGCAATAATTAAAGCGGGAGAACGCCAACATGGATGATTATTGTGGCCGGCAGAAGGCGTAACGAGAGTGAGCGCGAGCCATAGAAAGCGACCGTGGCGCCATCGAACGAGCGTAATTGCTAATTACGGTAACCTAGTTATTTTAACCCTTTGCGGTCCCGCGTAAAAGCGATCCCGCGTGCACACGTTTATTTTGGGGCGGCGCTAAATTTGACGTTCAGCTTGGAACGGGTGCACGAGGGGTTAGCGGCGAGGGAAATTGGCGTGACGGAATCCTCGAACCGGGTCCTTCCACCCTCCGGCATCGACGTACACCTGCTCCAGTGAGACGTGGATGGGAGTCCAGTTTGCACATAGTCGAGCCGCGGTTAATTTTCTGGCTTGTAACGGTGGCCGGCCAAGTTTGACGATTGCTCTTGTTCGATTCTGCTTGTAAGTGGTTTATGACTGTCCCTTTGAATTGCGGATGAATTGCGCCGCGTTGGAACCAGAGTTGGAACGTTTAGCTTGGAGAGTAGAATCGTGTAGTGTGAATACATGGGCAGTGATGATATTGTGCTACACAAGTGGAGTTTTAAAGGTCTAATCGGAGTTATGTGTATAGTTATATTTGAAGGAAAGTCGAGTTACGAGTATAGTTTAATTGGGAAGAATGAGGTAAGTAATACGATGTTCTTTCTTTTATTATGACAGTGTTTGAGTATTGGGTATAGGCGAGAAAAGGAAAATTTAAATTTAATCATCACGCTATTGATTTGCCATCTTTTCTTTTCTTTTTCCAAAATTTGTTAAACAAAATTATTGAATCACTGGACAAACTTTATATAATTGAAAAGGAAGGGAATATATGGAACAAATAACGAGGTAAGGGAGAGAATATTTAATTATCTTCCTTAATATATTTAATATCAATAAGCTTGTAAGCTTCTAGAGAATTAGCCTGTATTTCCTTTCTCTCTCCTTCTTCTCTCACCCACTTTCTCATTTATAAAAAAATCATATCGTGTAATGGAATAATGATATTATTTAAAGAAGTCACGACTCGTTCGGCTGAAAACCAGGGCCCCCATAAACTTTAAACTTTATCGAGAGATCCCTAAACTAATTTTTGAAAAACTCAGTTTAACTCCGTGCCTGAAATGTTCCGCTACCTTTCCAATGATCTTAACTGCTCTAAGTAAATTTCTTTCTCTTCTGCTAGGAAAATTTTGAAACTGACGTCGCGCCCCTCGGGAGAAGCTCTCTCTCTCTCTCTCTCTTCTTGCTTCCATAGTACGCTTTCAGAGAAGGATGAAATTGGATTATCCCCATCCTTCGAAACAGAATTGACCCGGTGAAATTCTACGAAGGTTTATCCTTGAGGAGCCTCAATTTCACGACTAATTATCAATCGAATTTCATCGATAACAACTAACGATATCCAATTTGATTAATAATAATAAACATTTGCATAAAATTCTTCAAATATATACATTCAAATTTTGCACAAAGAACCGCCTTAATTCACTTCAATTCAATTATTCCAAATAACTAACAATATTAAATTACACGAAAAATTCATATCGACCCTTGGACAACTTGGACGTCCACGTAAAAGAATCGCGATAACCCCTCTCCACGTATATAAACCACGTCGCTCCACGATGCGAAGCGTGAATTCCGTTTGTAACATGTGGAAGCGGCAGAAAGAGAAAGAGAGAGGTGCACGTGTGGCTCGCGTGTGTGGAAGGGATGAAGAGGGCGTACGTGACACCGTGTCGACTCCACGTATGTGCAAGCACGCGCGTATGCATACGTGTATGCATGGGGATCACGTTGGCGCCGTACGAGGCATATGCCAGCGCGTTTCCATATCCCCTCGGCCACACCCTCGCTCCATCCAACCGTGCCTCACTTACGAGCCGCTATTTTCTCGCCGAGGGAAACATTCCGACCGCATTTTACAGGGGGAGGAATAAAGCAGGGTGCTTCTTCGTTGCAGATCGTAACGCGTCAACTCGTCTCTGCTTTATGACTGCGCACTTGATTTCAGGTCCAATTCGAATTTGGAAAACGTGCTTTATCATTTTGTATCGATTAAATCTCGATACTGTTTAAGCTTGATATTGTTAAGGGAGGAGAAAAGTGTTTTAACAAGTTGCAATTTGTTCCATTAATAATATTATTACATAACCCTCAATTGGACGATGGGTAGATAGATTAATCAGTCAGGTAAATATAAATCATTACGAGTAGATAATTATAATCAACGTGTAGTCGGATAAATAATAAATCACAACCAGCTTCCTCCGGTTCTTGCTCGAACGCTTTATATTCAATGCAATCGGTCCAAACGATCCATTAGCAGATTCTTTTTAGATGCATCGCACGGATCTATATGAGCCCCAGAAAATGGGATAACTGCGGATTGAATGTGTGTGCCGATAACCACAAATCGTTCGGGGTAAACGTTTCCACGTATACGAGATATACGTGGAAGTTGCGAGCCAATGGCAATCGGGAGATTAAGTTTTTTATTCCGGGAATGGATGGACGGGGTGAGGGGACCCATGCTGATTTCTAAGCCAGGCTTCTTCCTTCGACCCGCACGAACTATCTTTCATTGTTAGAAATCTGTCTGGAGATAATAGAGGATATCGGATAAGATATAGATATGGTTTCATAGATTGTGCAATTGGATGATTAACAGCTAGCAATAACTTCATATTATTCTATAAATGATGCATCAACAAATGAGAAATTGGCAAGGAGTTATATTCGTGATGGATATTCTATTACCAAATCGTTAATCCTAATATTTCTAGGTAAAAAAATCTAAAAATTAGATATATAAAAGTGATGACGATTAATGGGTGTCTTATTCTTAGAAACGCAGTACAATTGAAATAAATTTAAAACCAGGAGCTAGATCAAATATTCTACAAATGATACATTAACATAAATGAGAAATTAACATGTAAATTAACATGATCCTAATAAATAGAAGAAGTCTGAAAGCAAAGTGATGACGAATAATGGATGTCTTATTCGTAAAGACGTTTTACAATAAAGGATAAATAAAATCAGAGATTAGAGCATCGTTGAAGAAAACGATCGAATCGAAAGAAGGAAAGAGAAGAATCTTTCGAACGAAAGAATGGTTTCCGCCTTTTAAATGAAATCAAATTGATTTCCCCAAAATTACGGGTTCGCGCGAAACCGAAGTTCAGGAAGCAAGAAGCGGATGCAAAGCATAATTCTCCGCCCGTTATTCATTCGCGTTTTCGTTTCGAGTCCACGGAACCACGACTTGCGGGGCGGCTAGACGCGGAGGCAAGGCTTTTAATTAAAATATGGAGATCGGGCCGGCGAAGCCAGCCATTGTGGCTACGAGTCGAGCTGCAATAATAACAGATAATATATCGCGCGCTGGAAGCCGGTGTAACTGCCTCTTTCAAACAATGAACTCAAATCCTGGGAACAACGCCGCGCACAATCACGTCTCGAACACTTTTCGTGCACGCTTCCGCAAGTGTGACGAAGTCTCCATATCCACTACTCCCCTGCAGATTACCCCGTTTCCTCTTCGCAAGAAGTAATAATCTTCGTTTACATCGTTGGAATTTTTTTATCGTTCGTACTGTGATTAAAAAGACGATACGCGACGAAGAACGAGCAACAAGATCTAATAAAACGATCGTGCATGGTAATTTCACGAGGGATGGGCTTCTCATTTGTTTTTTATATTTTCCAGAGTCTTTTAACTTTATTTTATTCTATATGTATGTATCGATAGAAAATCTTCTTTACGTATCGATTATTATTTTAAACAATTTAAGCTTTTAGTTTTTTTTTTTTTAATGATAGATTAAGGTAATGAATTCAAATCCTGGGCTTCTCATTTGTTTTTTACATTTTCCAGAGTCTTTTAACTTTATTTTATTCTATATATGTGTATCGATAGAAAATCTTCTTTACGTATCGATTATTATTTTAAACAAATTTAAGCTTTTAGTTTTTTTTTTTTTTTAATGATAGATTAAGGTAATAGGATGATGATACATGAATAGGATACGAAAGTAGTATAATACTAGAAACTAAGAAATTGTTAATATGCAAACTTGATAGTTTAAAAGAACGAATATAAATAAGCGAGAAACGTGTTTTTCCAGACTTAATACTGAATTTAGAATTCTAGGAATTTAATTATAGAGATTAGAGCGTGATTCTAACGTGTTATTCCGATTTGATTGAGCGAATCAAAGGATGGACGGGGAAGATCTTGATGGGACGCGTGATGCACTTTTTGTTTGTCCGGTTCATCCCGGTGTACGAGCGACCGCAGAGACCATAGGGTGCATCCTCATTAGTCTACTCTGACTCGGTCTGGTTAACTGATTGGCTCGCCAGTCATTATCTCCATTTCACGCTTCGCGAAATCCAGTGTCTGGTATTCCCCACGTTGAACGTTAATAGCAATGGTGCGATCGATGCATTTATGTATGGTAGGTGACAACGAGCCTTAGCAGTTTTACCGCGGAATTCCAATATGCGCTCTGCGGTTTCCATTCAATTATACAACAGGGTGTTAATGTATTCATGAGATATCTTTGGATATTCTGAAGAGAGAGAGAGAGAGAGAGAGAGAGAGAATAAATACGCAGAAGAAAAAATTTCGATCGAATTATTTATTTATCGAATTACAGGCAATCGATGTTCGCGTTAAATGAAACGGAAATAAAACGAGGGAGACAGAACGACCTCGCTTCTATTTCCGTCTCGCTTCGTCTAAATTACGCGAATTTAAATTACTTATAATTTAGTAAATAAGTCTCAATCGATATTTTTGTATGGAATTAATACGGAGAAAATTTGCAATTTTATTGAGACGCATTTTAATGCATCTCATTACTGGCCGTTTAATAAAGTATCAGATATTGCGTTAATTATTGATAACAGTTAATATAAATATTTGAGGAAAATATAGGTTGTTTGTTTTCTTTCTAAATTTAATAATCGATATAGTACTATTAGTTGACATAGTATTTCGTTTAACCGATCTTATTCGCTCATCGCGAGATAAAAAGGAATTCTTCAACCACTCTTTTCTTCTTACATCGAAAGGAATATGATAATATCGCTATAAAATATCGCTGAGACAATTAAAATCTCGCTAATTGTCCGAGCTTCAACTACAATCCACTAAAGAATCTTAAGATTCGATATCAATTTCTTTAAAGAAAGAATTCTCGTCAACGTGCAAGATTTAAAGGCAACGGACTCGTTGCCTTTTGTATTTGCATTTCATATTTTATTGTTAAGACACTCTTTGCCCCACGACTCGGGACATTTAGTCTTGTCTTAAGAATTTTATTACTTATAAAGTATCGTTTGACAAAGGGAAGAAAGTCTTCTAGAAAGAATCACTCTGTTTGGATAATTGGCTTGTCCTCGAAGAACGTTTCGTTAAAAAACTGAACGAAACGTTTAAGAAACCATTCGAATTAATTACCTTTTTTATTCAAGTTTGAACACGTTTCTCTCTCTCTCTCTCTCTCTCTCTCTCGTTTCTCTCGTTCGTTCAACGAACGAAATAATAGAAAGATGACGTATGCAACATTAAATAAACTAATTTCCTTCCCTTCAAAACGAATCATTTTTATTCTATTCTCACTCTATATATATCGTTTATAATTTTGAACAAACTTAACCTCCTTAAACGGAATTTCGTTAATTCATTATTTTCCTAAAAAAATATATTTTTTATTCATATATTTTAATTTAATCCAGATAATTTATATAAAAATTTATAAAAATCGCAAACAAATGTTAAACAAAATTTAAAAAAATATAAACACATCACTTCGATTTAATTACATTTCTTTCTTTCATGAATTATAAAGCGTTTTTTCTCTCTCTTTCTCGTTTTTTTTTTCTCGTTTCGTTCAAAGGACGAAAAAAATAGAAAAATGATGGAGAATAGAAAGGATAGAAAAACGTGCAACGATATATAATATCACAGGTGTATCGATCGAGATAGAATAAAATGGAGTGCAAAAAATTTGCTATCGTTTGTCATCGTTTCCTTTGTCTTCGAAAAGATTTAATTCCTACGTTGGAATTTCGATGAATATGGCCAAGACCACCGCGGTTTCTCATCCATCGACCGATGAAAAATTATCCCTTAAATCTTAGGAACAATCTCAATTCATTTCAAGCATAGTATGTGTTACGTCTGCGAATTCTTCTACGATAAAATTTCTTTTTCTTTTCATTCTTTTTTTTTTTTTTTTTCTATTGACGAATATATGAGAAATTGAGTACGTTTTGTTTCTAAAAGCAGAATCACGTATAATAATAAATTATATGATATTTTCGTTTTTTCTAAAATATTTCAATTCTGAATTGAATTCTGAATTCAAATAATTGATTATTGAGATATTATAATATAAACGATACTAAATTAAATATCCTTTCAAAAGACGATTAAAAAGATTAATAAATCTTGAAGAACAAAAAATGCAGGATACAAAATTTTACCTTTGAAAAGACAGAAATACCCATCAAAAATTGTATCCATCCGAATTCTAAAATTCCTAGAATCTTAAAATCAGAAAATTTCATTCCAGCCTGAAATAGAAACCAGAAATTTCGCATTCGAGGAACCTCTGTTTGTAGTCAAATCCACGGGAAGAAGAGGCCCGTCGTGATATTCTCAGAGTCTATCCGGGAGGAGGAGGTTGGGAACAGGCCGAAGAGAAGAAGAGAGTCGATACGGAAATCGAATTTCCGTAAATGATATTCACAAGGCGAAAGGAAAGACTGGATTCCCCCTGTGTGCCCATGAACCAAGAAATACATACTTTCCCTCCCCTCTATCCATGTATTTATCCATCTTTACCTCTATCTCCTTCTCCCCCTCCCTCCCTTTCTTCTCTCTCTCTCTCTCTCTCTCTCTGCCCTTGCCTCCATCTCCATCTCCATCTCTCCAATAAAAAAAGCAAGTACAGCACGAACAAGAGGGAGGAGAAAGGAGGGGGGGGGAAGGGGACACGGAAATATCCCGTTGAATAGAGATTTCCAGAATGGGGGTGGATAAATCTCGCGGAAGATTAGCTAAATCGTTGTACACGTTGAAAGAAAATAGTCGAGCCGAGGAAAGGGGGACAGCGGAGAGAACGAAGGAACGAAAGAAAGAAGATATAGAGGGGAACGGCGCCAAGTGAACGAAGGTGAAGGAAGGAAGAAAACGCTTTATGGCGGCCCGTATAAACTTCTTTTTCGTGAGAGGAGTGGACGGGCAGAATTTATCGGCCCGTTTTCTGGGGAGAACAACGGCCCTCCCCTCCTCTCTCTCTCTCTCTCTCCTCTCTCCAGTTAGATATAACGGTTTGGGAAAAAGTCGAGGCGTTTAAAGTTTAACGTTGTCGCGGTAGCTCGTTATCGATCGCCTCGTTACGACTTTTGCGATCCGCGATCCGCTCGTGGATAGAGGGCCGGGTTTAAATTGCCGGGTTGTGATTGAAAATGGTTGGGGACGATGATCGTTGGGAATTAAATGGACCGACCCGCTCGATTAACCGCTTTGATAATGCAATCTTGTATATCCTCGGTATACCTTTGATGAATTTAATTGCGTTTCCTATTTTTCTTTAACTGTG